TGAAGGTCCATCAAACTACTATTAAGAAGGGAAGAAGAATCACTACCTACATTCATGGTAGAGCAATGTTAATTAGCATGTTAAAGAAGTTTACCAAAGGTATAGACTTGATAAGGCCAAGTATGACTAGATTTGCCACATCTTATCTAACTCTTGCATGTCTTCATGAATTGAAAGCATCATTGATGAGCTTCTTTAGCTCTGATGAGTGGAAATCAAGCAAATTTGGAACTTCAATAGAAGGGAGAAAAATTGAGCATGTGGTATTAGATAGTCGGTTCTGGAAGAATGTAACCACTTGTCTCAAAGTTGCTGCCCCTTTGATGGTGGTCCTTCTATTAGTGGATTCAGATATAAAACCCGCAATGGGTTTCATTTATGAAGAAATGGATTCTGCCAAAGAGAAGATCAAATTTAACTTTAATAATATTAAGAAAAGGTAAAATTTATAAACTTTTTCTCTTTTAGATTTTCATTCTTTATTTTGTGTAATTATTTCTAACATTGCATGATTGCGTCATTGTAGTTATGAACCTGTTTGAAACATAATTGATGAGAGGTGGAATAATCAGCTTCATAGACCTTTGCATGCGGCTGCATATTACCTTAACCCTCACATGCACTATGAACCTAATTTTAGAAATGATGATATGGAGGTAAAAGAAGGGTTGTATGAATGCATGAAAAGATTGGTCAAGAATGTTGCAGAAAGGAAAAAAATTAATTTACAACTTCTAGAGTTTCATTTTGCAAAAGGACTTTTCTCAATGGAAAATGCAAAAGATTGTAGGAAAGTTATGCTTCCTGGAGAATGGTGGGAGATGTTTGGAGATGGAACTCCAGAGTTGAAGCGATTTGCTATTCGAGTTTTGAACTTGTAGTTCTTCTGGGTGTGAGTGTAATTGGAGCTCATTTGAAATGGTAAGTCAAATTTGTTAAGTTATTATTTGTTTTTAATTTTTTGTATTTAAACATTCATATTTATTTATAGGTTCACACAAAAAAAAGAAACTGTTTGCACTAGAAAAAGATGAATGACTTGGTTTATGGCATGTACAACTTGAAGCTCAAAAATAAACAAAATAGGAAAACAGTTGCTCTCCCATTTAATGATATTGAGTCTGATGATGAATGGATAACAGAAGATGGTGATAATGTTGGGATTGAGCCAGTTCAAGGTGAAGGTGATGAGGAAAATGTTGACATAGCTGAAATAAGTTCAGTTAATCCTACTTTAGAGCCAATTGATCTTGATAATATAGTGTTTGATATCAATGTTGATGATGCACTCTTATCATCCGAGGAAGAGGTTGACGGTGATGGAGAAGATGATGATGAAGATGAAAAAGATGATGATGTTGGAGATGATATAATTAGAGGATTGGAGCTAGAAAATTGAAGTTATTTATATTTTGGTGATTTGTATTAACTTATGTATTTGGTGTAATTTGAACTTATATAACAATCATGTGTGTTGAACCAAGTTATTTTAGAATTATTGAACTATTGTTTTTTATTTTCATTAATTGTGATGATGAAATTCTAAATTTGTATTATTATATAGAATTTTTCATATGAAGTAGACTCTTACGAGTCTACGAGTCGGGTTTACGAGTCGAGTTTACGAAGCTCTCACGAGTCAACGTAGACTCTCGATTCTGATAACCTTGACAGTCAGGGTCAATCCTCTTCAATGCCAAGTGATTCAACTATATGCATTTCTCAATCTATGGAAGGTCAGAACCCATGGATTCTTGATTCAGGTGCCTCTGATCATATATCTGGTAATAGTTCATCGTTTTCCTTCATGTCCTATCCTAAAATTCCTCACGTAATCACTGTAGCTAATGGATCCAAAGTGAAATCTCAAGGTGTTAGCCAAGTTTCTTTAACCCCGTCTCTAAATTTATATTATGTTCTTTTCATTCCTAATTGCCCTTATAACTTGATCTCTCTAAGTCAACTTACTCGTTCTTTGAATTGTTCTGTAACATTTACTTTCAATTTTTTTGTTATTCAGGAACATGGTACGGGTCGTCTGATTGGAGAAGGATATAAATCACGTGGTTTGTACTATTTAAAACCAAGTCCTTCGGTTTCTTGTCTGGTTTCTCCTGCCCCTAAACTTTTACATGATCGTCTGGATCACCCAAGTCTATCTAAGTTTAAAGTGATGACTCCTAATCTTCAACATCTTTGGGTTTTAGAGTGTGAATCTTGTCAATAAACATTAGGTTTAGTTTTCCTAAACAGTCTGAAACTCGATGAAATTATCCTTTTTCAAATATTCATTCTAGTGTTTGGGGACCAAATCGTGTTTCTTCTTTTGGCTTTCGTTATTTTGTGACCTTTATTGATGAATTTTCTATATGTACTTGGGTTTATTTGATGAAAGACAGATCTGAACTTTTGTCCATTTTTGTGTCCTTTTTCAATGAAATTAAAATCAATTTGGAAAGATAATTAAAGTTCTCATAAGTGATAATGCCAAAAAATATTTCTCTGCCTCTTTTTCTTCTTTTTTATCTTCCGAAGGAATTTTACACCAATCAACTTGTCTTCACACCCCACAGCAAAATGGCATTGCAGAAAGGAAAAATAAACACCTTATTAAGACTGCACGCTCTCTAATGTTGAATGCTAATGTCCTTGTTCATCACTGGGGAGATGAAGTTCTCACTGCTTGTTTTTTTATTAATCGGATGCCATCTTCCTCTCTTAAAAATCAAATTCCACATTCTCTTATCTTCTCAGATGATCCTCTTTTCCATGTATCTCCTTGTGTATTTGGTTGTACTTGTTTTTTTTACAATGTATCTCCAGGTCTTGATAAACTAAGTGTTAAGGCCATTAAATGTGTTTTCTTGGGGTACTCTTGCCTTCAGAAAGGGTATAAATGTTATTCTCCATCTTCCAAAAAGTATTATATGTCTGTTGATGTCACCTTCTTTGAGGAAGCACCCTTCTTTTCTTCCCCAATGGAAGATGGTTCATCAATTCAACAAGTTCTTCCTATATCTGTTTCTTTCCCAATTCAGTCTACAGATCATAATGATTCACCTCCTACACCTTTAGCAGTTCCTACAGATAATTGTGATTCAGATTCGTCTCCATTAGTTTCTCATACCATGGATCCTTCAACCTTACCTCCTACTTTTGATTCTGGTTGGCCTATTGCACTTAAAAAAGGTACTCGTTCCATTCGCAATCTCTCCTATTTATAATTTTTTAAGTTACCATTGTCTGTCTCCTTTATATTATTCTTTTGTTGTCTCTTTGGCTGATACGTCTATTCCTAATAATCTTTATGAGGCACTTGATCACCCTGGATGGCGACAAGCCATGATTGATGAAATACAGGCACTTGAGTACAATGACACTTGGGAGCTTGTTCTTCTTCCTCCTGGCAAAAAGGTTGTGGGCTGTAGGTGGGTCTATGCAGTTAAAGTTGATAATAATGGTAAATGGATCGTCTTAAAGCTCATTTAGTAGTTAAAGGCTACACTTGTTTATGGCCTCAACTACTATGACACCTTCTCTTCAGTAGCTAAGATTTTCATTATTCGTCTTTTCCTTGCTATGGTTGTGATTCGTCATTGACCCCTTCACCAATTAGACATTAAAAATGTCTTTCTTCAAGGTGACCTTGAGAAAGAAATTTATATGGAGCAACCTCCTGGCTTTGTTGCTCAGGGGGATTCTGGTTTAGTATGTAAGTTACACCGATCTCTTTATGGCTTGAAGCAGTCACCCCGAGCTTGGTTTGGAAAATTCAGTCATATTGTGCAATTGTTTGGCATGAAAAGGAGTGAAGCAGACCACTCAGTGTTTTATTGTCATTCCTCTTCAAGCAAGTATATGTATCTTATGATTTATGTTGATGATATTGTTATTATAGACAATGATTATACTAAAGATCAGCCAACTTAAGAATCATTTGTTTGCTCACTTCCAAACCAAAAATCTTGGTCAATTGAAATATTTTCTTGGTATTGAAGTAGCCCAGTCAAAGGAAGGTGTGATCATCTCTCAAAGGAAGTATACTCTTGATATTCTGAAGGAGACTGGTGTAACAAATTGTTAGCACATTGATACCCCAATGGACCCTAACAAGAAATTGATGAAGGATAAAGGAGAAAAGTTGTCAAATCCAGAAAGATATAAGAGATTGGCTATTAAACTCATTTATCTTACTATTACCAGACCAAATCTTTCTTATGTAGTTGGAGTAGTTAGCCAATTCATGCAAAATCCTTGTGTTGATTACTAGGATGCCTTGATTTGCATTCTGAGATATATTAAAGGGGCCCCAGGACAAGGGTTGTTATATGAAGATAAAGGTAATACTCAAATTTTTTGTTTTTGTGATCCAGGCTGGGCTGGTTGTCCAATTGATAGAAGATCGACTACGGGGTATTATATCTTTATTGGAGGAAATTTGATTTCATGGAAGATTATAAAGCAAAGTATTGTTGCTCGATCTAGTGCAGAAGCTGAGTATAGATCTATGGAACTTGCTACATGTGAACTTGTGTGGATCAAACAACTCCTTCAAGATTTAAAATTTTGTGATATTAGGCAAATGAAGTTATTGTGTGATAATCAGGCAACTCTCCATATTGCCTCCAACCCAGTCTTTCACGAAAGAACAAAATATGTTGAGATTAATTGTCATTTTGTTAGGGAGAAGTTGTTGTCTAAAGAACTTGTAACTGAATTTGTAAGCTCCAATGAGCAACTGGTAGGTATTTTAATTAAATCCTTAAGAGGACCTAGGATTCAATTCATTTGTTTCAAGCTTGGTACATACAATTTGTATGCTCCAACTTGAGAGAGAGTGTCGAGATTTGTTGTTTATATATCTTTTAGTATTCTTTTCCAATATTCCTTAAACTAAGGTTAAAGGTTTGGACTGAGACCCATATCCTCTCTATTATACCCTTTTTTCTATAAATACAATGTATTAATGCCTTTGGTCACTGCATCAAACCCTAAATAAGTTATCTTAAGTACATCCATCCAATTTTCCATGCATACTTACTGGAGAAGGAATTTGCAGCATCAACAGTAGCACAAAATCTACCATCAGTCCTACCTGGGCAGAAGGTATGTTAACTGTTAGGCAGATATCAGGAGGCAGTAAAAGCCCTATTCCAGTGGAAGATTCTTCCTCTCAGAACAGCTCCCCTAATTTCCCCTAGAGAACAAGGTGAAATCTTTAGGGGGAATAATGGGATACCGTAATGGTACCTTTTCAGAATTATAAAATTGAGAGGAGTGGTCCAAAGACCTCTCAAAATGGACCCTTAACTCCATGTAGGTGGACATTACAGCAGTGCAGGGGTTGAAAACCCACTAGAAACCACTTAAGGTCAAAGTCTATCCCCCAATGCCCAAGTGGAGACTACTCCTGCTTCGTGCCCAAAAACGATTTAAAACATAGAACAAATATTGGGATTTTTCCTCCACAGGTGTCCTCATAGTCTTCTAAAACTAAAGATATCAGTTTTGCTTGAATTAGTTTTGATCAAGATTCAAGATAATAGAATACAAGAAAATGCTCTACTTCCATTAAAAAAAAATACTGGAACCTGCAGTGAATAATGTATAGAATAGCCATCTGGCTCTAAGCTTAAACTCAATACAATCCTACATTATGAGGAAAATATCACATAGAAACAAGTTGAAACACCAACCTAGATTGCCATGTTGAACAAGTAAAGCATGCAAACTATTGTAACTGCCCAATCAAAAATACACTTCTAATCTAGGAGGATAGTACCATTCTAATCCCATTACGAGGCCAGATAATGATGTATTACAATGTATTGATGTATTTGATATGTTCATAAAACCTATAGCATTAATCCTTGTGTATATACTCGCAATCCTACCAATTATGAAAACAAATCATGATTAAAGAAGAGAATATGATAATATTATCTAAAAATATGATAAGCTTCTTCCCATATATTATGACACTATTTATTATTGAATATTTGGTAGCCAAGTTTAGGCAAAGGATATGTGTGATCAACTTTATCGACATCATACATTTTTATTTTCCCTTTCTCATTCTTATGGTTTAATCCACCATTTATGAAGGCATGCAAGCTATACACTTTACCAAAGACACCATATACAGCTTTAGGCCCACTGATGGGCTTTGGATACAATGTTTATGCTTTACATGATATCAATAAAAGGAAATCACAAAGAACCAGTTAATCATTAGATAATCGAGGTTCAACTCTACTATAATCAATGTAACCAAGCAGTGAGAAAATTAGATACAATTTAAAATTTGTAAGGTCATATCTGTAGGCAATTTAATCAGATACTAAATTCATACTTGAAAAAGTGGTCCATGATGCATGGGGTGGGGGGTGTAAACCTCAGTATACATTTTAGTGCTCTACTTTCATGAACAATAACATCAATAAATGCCATAAGTCACAATATTTATGCGATCGAAACGAATCAAGTCCATACCTCACAAAGCCATTGTTATCAATGTCTGCAGCAAGAAACTCAGAAACAGTCATATCCTGACCAAGAATCCACTTAGCCATCATCCTATGCCGCTTATCCACTCTTGCCTCAGCCAAATAGAGGAACGCTCGAGCCACCGCAAGCGTTGAAACGAGCAACCAAATTGCAGCAAATATCCGGCCATGCATGGTCTTGAATGCATGGTCTCCATACCCAACCGTTGTAACTGACATAACTGAGAGATAAAAAGAGTCCAACCATCCAAGCTTCTCCACAAAATGCATAACCGCCACACCTACCCCAATACAAATCACCACCACTCCCAACGCCAGCGCCACCTTCAATCGAATCCTCATCCTCCCTTTCTTCACATCAATTATATAGGACTTCCCATCCTTCTCACCCCTCCTCCCCTTCACTGCCGTCAACATATGATTCTCCTGCAAATCAAGCACATAGCTGACCATCCCACTCAACAATATGTCTATAAATCCAAACCCCACCAACACAAACAATATAGAGAAAAGTTTGGTGGCTGTACTATTCGGAGTGATATCACCATACCCTATTGTGCACATTGTGACTATACAAAAATATAATGCATCAACTATAGGATGAGTCTCGGAAGCTAAAAAATTATGACGATTGAACCAATAAATGACAATCCCTAATGCCAAATAAAGAATAAGAAGAATTACACCCTGGCGCACAATACTCTGGCTGCCAAATTGCGGCTTTGGCACGGAGGATTGGGGGTTGACGTCGCTGATCACCGCCATGGCCGGCGCGGTTTTGGAGCGATGAAGATTTGATTTTCGGCACGAGTAATTGGGGTCAATGAGCCAAGAGGACAGGTGTTGCTGGGAATCAACATAGTCCTCCGAGGTAGAAGAGGAACATTTTGGGGAATTGTTGGGCAGTGTTAAGGCATCAGCTAAAGGTGAAGGGTTCCTCGGGGAAGCACAAGCAGGACCAAATATGAGACGGTCCTTGAATTGCGACGGGGTCATTGGAAGAACCATTTCATCGTGCTCTGGCAAGGGACATAGTGGTGGCAGTGATTGAGGCTTCTTTCTGGGGCTGAAATATGGGAGCAGAGGCTCCTTCTCCATAATGGTATCCGATTCTAAGGGTTCAGAGATAGAAAAACGATTGAACGCAGGGAAAGACGGTGGCTTTGGAGGAAGGAAGAGTTTTGCAGAGAAGAGTGGGTTTGGGAATGGAGGGAAATTGGTTGTGGAAATGCAAAAGAGAGAGACTTTGTGACAAGAGTTTTTGATGAGCAAAGTGGGGATGGAAGTTATAACAGATAGAGAAAGGAGAGAGATTTGCATTACATAACATAGGTACAAGAATTAGGACGGTGCTGACGTGGCACGTGACAAAACATGTTTTCTATGATTCATTGTTTTGGATACCACTCGTTCCCAAGGTAGTTGCTACACTCACGCGCTTCTTGGTGGCAAGTGGCCCAAGTGTTTTCTTTCTTTTCTTATTCACGAGCGTATCTTCTTTTAGAATCAATAAATACAACAAATTACTATCTTATTCATAACTTTTAATTATTTGTTAGATTTATACAGTTTTTGAATTTTATTATTTTTACTAATAAAAATACATTGTTTGACCTCATATATCTAGGTTTTTTATTGTTTGACACGTTAGTTAAAGTAACATTTTTTAAATCTTTTAATTTTAGATTTATTTCCCTTTTATTTTTGAAATATTTATTAAAATTTTCTATTATATAAGTTAATAATTCATATACATTTATTTTTTTTAACTTCTTTGACTCATAAAAAATAATTTAATTATAATTTTATATCAACTTTTCTTTTTTTACCTTTCAAATAAAAATAATAATAAAGACATGTAATAATTGTTTTTTATATTTTTATAATATATTTATTTTAATTGTCATATTATTTATAAAAATAATTTATTATTTTAATATTAGGGTTCAAGATATTAATATTATAATTTTTACATTACATTGTTGCTTAACCATTATATATAATAAAAAATTTAATTAAAAATAGTTTAAGATAAAAAGTAAAATACGTCATATATATATATATATATATATATATATATAATAATTAAAACTAAAAAATGATATTAAAATAATTTATCATTAAAAAAATAGTTTATAAGTTTAAAATGTATTAAAACTATAATTATAAATACTCTAAAATATAATTTTATCACTATAAAAAAATTGCACATTGATATTTCAGTCTTAATTAACTAAATCATAATAATAATATAATATTTTTTATTTTAACCAATATTTAAAAAAATTAAGTTTTTAATTTTTGAGAAATATGTTTTAGGCTTTTTATTATTATTATTATTATTATTATTATTATTATTATTATTATTATTATTATTATTATTATTATTATTTTATATATATTCATTTATGGTCAAGGAACATATACAAAGAGCATAGGCATGGGAAGCATTTGCGGTATCTCATAGCATAAATCTGGAAGATGCAATAAGAGAAGAGAAGAAGAGAAATTTGATTTGTATTTCATTTTCTGCAAGAATATGTATTTTTGTATATTTTTAAAGAATAGGAAAAAGTGTCTTAATAATAGTCTCGCCTCAAGCTGGATAACCAGTAACAAAATAATTCATTCTAATAGTCTCGCCTCAAGCTGGATGATGAATGTTCATCAATATAAGCTTAGAGATTATAGATTTGAATCAAAGACAATGAAAAGCTTTGGTAAAAACATCGGTGAGTTGATCTTCTGATCGAATAGGCAATAAATGAAAGAGATTAACTTGTATCCTTTCACGAACCACGTGACAATTGATGTTAATATGCTTCATATGTTCGTGAAAACTTGGGTTTTGAGTTATGTGACGCGCTGATTTGTTGTCGCAATACAGGACAATGGTGGTACTAGTTTAAACTTGGAGATCTCTGAGGAGAAAGTGAAGCCATTGGTTCTCACAGGTGGTAGTAGCTAGGGCGCGATACTCTGCTTCTGTGGAGGACCCAGAAATAGTACTTTGTTTCTTTGATTTCCATGATATAAAAGATGATCCTAGAAACACACAAAACCCAATAGTGGATCGTCTGGTGTTTGGGTAGGTGGGTCAATCGGAATCACTGAAGGCTTTTAACTGAGTCTGAGAATCTGCAGAAAAGAAAAGTCCTTGGGAAGGGTTGGATTTAACATACCTAAGAACAAGTTGTATGGCTTGATGATGATGAGTAGTGGGTGCCTGCATAAACTGACTTAGTAAATGAATAGAAAAACATAAGTCTAGTCTAGTATTTGTTAAATATAAGAGTTTCCCTATAAGCCTGCGAAAGGGGGTCAACGTCAGGTAAAGGTTCCTTTGATTCAAAAAAAGTCATTATATTACTTATGAAAGGTGTAAAGCAAGGTTTACAACTAAGCATTCCTGTTTCTTTTAAACTGTCTAAAGCATATTTCCTTTAGCATAGATGTATTCCTTTCTTAGATATGACCACCTCAAATCCAAGGAAGTATTTAAGCTCTCCAAGATCCTTGATGCGAAAATTGTTATGTAACAGATTTTATATTCTCAATTTTAGTTAGGAAATCCCTTATCAAAATAATATCATCAACATATACAAGGAGAGCTATAAAATTTGTAGAAGATTTCTTAATAAAGAGAGATTAATCAGATTTGGATTAGACAAAGTTAATTGAAATGAGAAAAGAAGATAGTTTAGCAAACCACTGTCTCTTGACTTGTTTTAACCCATATAAGGACTTGGTTAATCTACAAACTTGACCTTGTTTATGAGTGTTAAACCCTGGGGAAGGTGTCATATAAACTTCTTCATTTAGTTCTCCATGTAGAAAAACATTGTCCACGTCAAGTTGATGTAAATACCAATTCTTGGTGGTAGCTAGGGCAAGAAGCAATCTAATAGTAGTGTGTTTAGCAACTGGAGAGAAAATGTCCACAAAATTTATTCCTTCAAGTTGGGTATATCCTTTTGCTATAAGCCGAGCCTTAAACCTTTGAATGGTACCATCTATTTTATGCTTTATCTTATAGACTCATTTGCAGCCAATGAGAGTTTTTCCAAGTGGTAGTTGGGTCAAATACCAGGTACCATTGTCTTGTAGAGCTTTAATCTCCTTCTTCATGGCACAAACCCACTCGAGTTGTGTGCTAGCTTCAACCTAAGTTTGAGGTTCATTAACCATAGATATGGCAAGAGTGTATCTTAAATGTTTTTCAGATAAAGAGTCATATGATAAAACAGTAGAAATAGGATAAGTAGTTTCAAGAATATTCTTGTCTTTAACAAAATTCTTGTCTTTAACAAAACTCTTGTTAATAGAAAAGGAGTGATTGACCTGGTGGTGATAATCCTTTAAGTAGGTAGGAGTTTTTCTAATTCTGTTGGATCGTCTATAACTTTGTTGTCTTTCTTCATTTTCAAGAGAGTTAGTAGTAACAAGATTTTCTCTAGGAATCATTATTGAGACTAACTACTTGGGTTTTGAATTTCAGTCTCACAATCATACAAGAAAACATTAAGATTATTTTTTTTATCTTTATTAGGATCAGAATCATTATTATAATTTTTATAAGGAAAAATATTTTCATAAAAAATTAAATTTATGTTTATAAAAATTTCTCTTGTTTTTATACCAAGAAGAATATAACCTTTAATTCCAGTTTTATACCTAAGAAAAAAAAATTTCTGACTCTAGAATCAAACTTGTTTTTGTTGTTTTCAAGGGTAGAAGCGAAGCATAAACAACCAAATATTTTCAAATTTAAATATGTAGGTGGTGTTTTGTGAATTAGTTCATAAGGAGTTTTTCCATCAAGAACACTCCTAGGTAACCTATTAATCAAATGGACAACATGGGGAATAGCATAAGACCAATATGCTTTAGGAATATTAGATTGAAAAATTAGGTTGCGAGTTGTATTTAAAAGTGTTGATGTTTCCTCTCAACAACAGAGTTCTATTGAGGAGATTCAACACAATTCTTTTGATGAATAATTCCATAACTATCATATAACTTAGTGTATTCAAATTCTAGACCATTATCTGATCTAACAATTTTAATGCTCCTTCTGAATTGATTTTTAATGTATACAACAAAATTTGACAGTAGATTCCTAGTTTCATTCTTAGCATGCTTCTTCCGAATTGATCAATGTCAGTTTCTTTGTTACTCAAAGTTGCATTAACAGAGACAAAGCTTTTATCAAGAATAGAAGGAAAGACTTGCAAATAATATAATTCTTTGTAAAGATTAGCATGCCCAATCGTCTTCAATGTAGAACTGTTTTGTATCTTACACAACTTAGAAGAAAAAGTCAGTTTATAGTTCAACTCTTTAATAAGATTTTGAACAGAGATTAGATTAAAGGAAAATTTAGGAATATATAGGACATTAAAAATAATAAAGTTTCTAGAAAATTGTACAGTCCCAACATAATATGCAGTAACAAAAGAATCATTAGAAAATTTAACATGTATAGGACTGATTTTGTAAAAGGTGACAAAATAATCTTTGACATGTGTAATGTGATTAGTGGCACCGGTGTCAATGATCCAGGAAAGATTACCTAGCTGATTATTAGGTTTAGATGAGTTAACCATATTTCTTTGAACATGATTGACTATGTGTTCTGAATTATCAAGAATTTCTAGGATCTGTAAAAGTCTTTACATTTGTTCTGAGGTGAGAGAGCAAATTTATTGTTTAGGATTTTGATTTCTAAGTTGCAAGGTGTCATCCTTCATGCTTGGATTACATATTTGTTGATTTGCATTGTCTTTGTTAAGGTTCCAACATAAAACCAATTGGCTATATGTGGAGTAGCCTAACATGTATTTAAACCATACCAAATGACATGAGGTAGGCGATGTCAGACTTTCAACAGTCTTGATTCCAACTCTGTTGAATCACCTTTTCTTGACTCGTGTTAGACAATTCACTTTTATGTTTGTACCATGGTGAATATCCATGTTTAGAATAACATTCATCCACTGTATGATTCATCTTGTGGCAATAAGAACATTGTTTTCCTTGATTAGGATTTCTTCCTCTCTCTTGACTATGCCAATTATTCCCATGACCTTGTGTTTTCCAAGAACCTTGTTCTTGTTGTCTCCAGTTATTCTGCTTATCGGTGGTGTTAACCATTATTTTACTTTCAGTAGTAAGTACTCCATTTCCAATAAGTTGTCTCTCTTGTTGCATGCTAAGAGAGAACACATGGTTGATGTTGGGAAGAGGTGTTGAACATTCAAGGACTTGATGTTGCACTTGATGAACATGAAGATTGATGATTTTGATGATGATTCAAGAAC